AAAAACTAGCAGCCACACCGTGCAAACATCATAACAAGGAGCCAGACACTCCACTCAACTCAATGGACCAGCCCACCAGTGACTCACCCATTTCGTCCGCTTCCACGGACTTTCTGAGGCAATGACGACCGCTCCGTCTCCAAAGACTCGTGGAGCTGTCCCACCAGGCGAAGAACGGTCGTGGAGCCTTGGCTCTGAGATGGTTGGCGGCAAACCGGCACTGGTCCGAACCCCTGGAGTCGGATCAACTCATCCATGTCTATAAGCACTACGTAAGCTATAAGTAAGCTATAGCTTGAGGCAGATCCGCCCTGATTGTTTTTTTTGTGATTAAAAAGAGGATCATGGGTGCTCCAATGAGTCCATGTGACAGGAGTGGAACTGTCTTTTGGTACCATTTCAACTGAAGAAAGCCTGCAAAGAAATGCCACATTCATGCTACGTTCGTGATAAATGATCTACCCCTTCTGAAGACCGGGCAAATCAAGAGCTATAGGCTATAGGGCAACATCGAAATATGGATGCCATTCACCTGAATTCATCACTCTAGGATCAAGGTCCGTCAATGAAACAAAGAAACACACTGCATGAGACGGCTTAATCAGTTGCTGACCTTGTATCTCCCGTGATGACTCATACCAGCCGAAAAAAGAACATAGAGAATAGAGAACAAACATCAACACGAATTCAGGAAGGAACGTCTTTCGCTGCATTCGTCTTTTTTCCAGACCCAACCGGCAACACCGGTGAAACGAGACGATCGGCGGCCCGGCCCGGTCAAAGACCAAAACGAAAGAACTCATCGGGCCTGGGCATGACTTTTTGGATGTGAGAAGGTTTGTCTTATATTTATACCTGAGAAGGGGGAGGACGAAAGCCAGCTGTTTTTCCGACGGCAGCTGCAGGGCTGAGGTCGGGGATCGTCGTGGCAGCTGCATCCATAGAGGGTTCGGGAGAAGGTACCGGGGAAGGTCCATGAGGAGGTTCTGGAGAAGGTTCGGGAGCAGGTTCCAAAGCAAACAAGGCTCCAGAGGAGGGCGTGGACAGCGAAGAGATTTTCTGAGGGGCGCTTCGTGCTGTTGGGGACTTTCCTTGGGCTTATGCCACTGATCCGCCCAAACTATAATCATACGTCGCAGCTACACCTCTCTTCCCAGAGACATAGACACAGAACCATAGAGACATAGAGACACAGAGTCATAAAAAAACAGAGCCATAAAACACAGAGAAGTTGCTATCTACAGGGGGTCCTTTTCTGATAGCAACGTGTCGCTGCCAACCAACTACCATACTTGCCCAATACATCCAACCAGACTTCTCTGACAGGATGACTTGGAGGATGGCAGGAACTATATGTCTCAGCATTGGTGTCACCAGCTGTGATCCCAAAATATGGCATAGGTCCGTGACTATAACCAATCCTTAAACAGCAAGCTCTTCACCCCACCAAGTTGCTATCTACACGGGCCCCTTTTCTGATAGTGACTTGTCGCTGCCAACCAACTACCATTCTTGCCCCAATACATCCAACCAGTTCCATTTGGAAGCAATCATCAAGTACTTTGGCAACCAAAATCCGTCATAAAAATTAGGAAAAAATCTTTCGGACAAGTACTGTTGCAAGCAAAATCCATCAAAAGAATTACGACAGAATCTTTCGGACAAGTACTGTTGCGACCAAATTCCGTCACAAAGCCTCCAGCCACTATATAGACTAGGGTATGTTTTACCTGCTTTGCTGGTCCAGTCAATACCATCTATATAGCTTCTTTGATTGAAGTCCAACAACGAATGTAAGTTGCCCGGTCGCGCATGCTTGGCCAGGACATGTCGATACCCTTGCTTTTGAGAGCTTGACTCAAGCGATGGGGTGCAGGATGTCCAAGGCTTTGGTGTGCATGCTTTAGGTTCGTACCCAACTAGCCTCGCACCCGTGTCTCACTGTTCTCAGCGGTCCGTCCGAGGCAAGAAAAGTGCTCACCGGACGCCGTCCATTGCATCACTCGCATCACCAGACCCCACTTTCACTGCTTTTCTGACCCTCGCTTTGGAGCGCTCTCCCCAGTTACCCTCTCAAATGGTGCCTTTTCGCGGCTTACCCCCCCCACACCCCCTTAACTCACTTCGTTCGCTCTAAGAGCTCAAGCCTAGCCTATCGGCTGGCTTTCGTAATATTCTCGTTTTCAACCATTAAGCTGTGTTTGAGTTAGATTAAAAAGTGAGATCTTTAGATCCCTGTGAAGGAGGGTGAACTGCGAAGATGTTTTAGTCGCACGCGCACGCAGGATTGGCTGCCACAGGGTGTCTAAGTGCTTTGATGGATCTCAATGTGAAGCAAACTGCTTCAGCAAACACCTCGCAAGATTTCACTGCTTTCTGCATGCAGTCTCTCATCATTCGAGCTCAAAGCTGTGCCAAACTTGATTCAACAGCAGCCGCCGTTCAGGGCTCAACGTCAGCTCCGGAACCACCAAAGTCATGGTGTAGAGCACACTTGAATCTGAACCCGCACGTTTCAGAGCAATACTTGACCAGCAATGAATGCGGACGGGTCCTTTCTTGCTCTCGCAGGTCACAAAATATTCAAATTCGTATTTCCCATCTTGGCATCTCGATGCCAAGAGCTCTGTTTCGCCATCAGGCCTCTCCCTGGACAAGAGTCTTGTGAAAGCCTCTTGGGGCTCTCCCAGCATGGCTTGCAAGCTCTCTGAAGGCACACGCTGCGCCACCACCGACAGACTCTGCTGCTGATCGATTGAAGCAAGACCGCCACCTGCTGGCCCGAACGCGTCCGGGATGATCTGTTTCCGTCGAAGGGAAATGGTCGGAAACGCGCCGCCTGCTTGGAAAACGCCACGCTTTCATCCCCCAACCAGTCCCCTGGATACTGCAAATGATATTTGCCTTTCTGCTGAAAGGCCTTGAGGCCATTCACAGGATAGATCTGATCTAATCCAGCTCGACGAGCACCGTCCGGACTCAAGCTCAAAAGAAATCGCATGAGCCCAAGGAAGTCGCTGATGATGGCCAACCCCACAGCGCCTGCCAGCACGGCCCAATAGGTGAAATCCCTTCTGCGACTCGCGGACACCTTGGCCATATCTTCAAACAAACGTTGAATCAAATAGAACCACTTTGAGGAGTCGTTTCGAGAGCTCTTTCCCGGACTCTTTGGAGCTTCTCGAGAGGAGCTTTCCGTCTCTGATCCGGACGTGGCACGTCTCCCGCGCGCGGAACCGGCGGCAGGGAGTTGGGCAGCGCGTCGGACGCAAAGGGTGGCCAAGAGGGGTGTAATCGAGCAGAGGCGTCTGCATGCCACAGAGTGTGGCGCGTGAAGATGGTGTCCGGAAACCCTTCTGTGCAACGGAGCATGCGCAAACGAGATCCAGGATTTCTCCCCATGGCCAAGGCTCATCATCATCTCGGAAGGTGTGCAAAACAACTACTGATGCTGATGCTTTCAAAACCTATGCTTCTGGTGAAGCAATTGCTACAAGCATGTTTTCCTTGAAGAAGCTTCTGTAGAGCACATGTATTTCTATGGTCCCAGGGCCCCAAATTGATTGTGAGCAGCTTAAACATTCAGCTGTACCCCCCCTTGTTTCCGCTGGGAGACTGGCATAATGATCATCCTCTTGAGACTGGACTGGCTGAACCTGGACTTCTGTGCTTTTGCATGTGCAGCATGTCCACCAGGGACCCCAAACTGGACCCCAACCAGGGGACCAACCAGGAGACCAACTGCTTCTGATTGCTTGCTGACTTGAAGCCAGACCCTACCAGGTAGATCCTCTCAGCGTCGAGAAAAAGGTTGCTAAGACCTAGTTGGACCCGACAAACCACCCAATAAAAATGGGTGTTCCGAAGCATTGGAACATCTGACATTGGGTGTCCAGGAGACTTGTCCGGAAGATGTGAACATGCTTGCTTGAACATGCTTAAAAGAAGAATGGTTTTATGAGGGTGTGACGGATTCAGCATGCTAACATGACAAGAAAGGTCACCATTTCTCTGATAAGTTGATAAGTAAAATCTGTTATGCACGACTTTACCGTACCAAAGCTTCAGAAGCTCGGTGTCGAGCATCGGGATGTCGAGCGCTCCGACGTGTTTTTCGGATCTTCGCCTGGCATCGAACAGCAAAAAGGTCCAGTATAGACCGTGGTCTCCAAAACGGTTTCCAATAGATAGCATGCAGAAATGTGAGTGAAGTACTTCTGAGTTTATGATATAGATAGAAACGGTGTCCAATACCTGTTTCAGGGATCGGACACATGCTGTTCTACATTGTGGGGGTCGGAAAAAAATAGAATAATATATAACTTTATACTCTAATTTCGACTCTCAGCACCTATTCGACTCCAATTTCGATCTCATCTACTGTGATCGGACCATTTCGGACCACTGAGTGGTCGCCTCTGAAAATCGCTTCTCTGGTCCTCCCGGACGGCGACCCGAACGAAAGGCCCCGAATCCTGGGGTGGAGCGACCGGGGAAAGGGCAGTGAACTCACAGGGCCCTTCAGGCTCCGAATCGTCTGGAACTTCCCGAAAATCGAACTCCGAAAAAGACACCAGGACAGGTGGAACCCGTTCGCAGCACACGCACACGCTAGAACTCTCTCTCTCTCTCCGCCGAAACCGGCGCCTGCCACGATAGAACCATCACCTCGGCGAGTGTCCGTCGGAAAGCGTCGGAAAGCGTACGAAAGACACTGCGAAAACCAATGTCATGAGTTCCCTGACAGATGTCGCTGGTTTTGGGCGATGAGAAAAACCGAACCAGAATGACCGAATGACCCGGGTGACCGAAGCATAAACGAAGAATGCCCGGACGACGCATGCTAGACTGCTAGACTTCATCCTCGCTTTTTTACGATATGCTGTGCTGGCGCCATGTTCTTCGGTTCGCTTGGCACCATGAATTCGAGCGAATGCATAATTGTGCCCACTTTTTGGGAGCACACATTTGGAGCATTCTAAATCAAGACTGTTCAGCTTTACGAAAAACGAGCAGCCCTGTTGTTGCTAAGGATTAAGGATGTTCAAAAAATAAGCGATCGGTTGGTTGAAAAATCGACTGAGCAACAATCTGGAGCAAATAGCAAATCAGACTGAAATCTCAAGCTCGTAGTCAACGAACAGTGACGAACAGTAGGACCAAAAACTCGCCCCAGAAAGTCCGAACATGAATTCACTAAAACACTCGGTGGGAGAGAGGCTTGGCTGCCCCACCTTGGGTTCGCCTGTACAGAACCCGCCAATCTCAAAACTGCACTACCCCGATCCCAAGCGCTCATGACATTGGCATCGGGTTCAAGACGTCGCCCACAGGGCCAAAGAGGAGGCCGGACCGATACGCCCAACTCAACAGGCTGCTGCAACGCGTGGTGCTCGGGATTGTCGAGACAGCAAATTGGGCAAAGGCAAAGGTGGCAAACTGGGCTCCGCAGCCACTGCCCAGTTGAGGTGCTCCATACTGCAAATGCTACAGGTGTCGCCTTTGTCGTCGTCCATCTCCATAGTCCCGCGGTTCGCAAATCCACAGGTACTTGGCCGATTCACAACCACGAAAGAAGCTTAGCTGTGGAAATGCACATCCTTTACGTTGGAAAGAAGCCATGAAAGTCAAGAGTTGAAGTAGGAAGAAAGCCATGAACTGCCAAGAGTGTGGTAGCTGCACGTCTGCAGCAAGCGCTGCCACCTGCACGGCAACGCAAGCGATCACACAAAAAACAGACATGGTTGCAGCAGCTCGGGCACTGAGCAAGTCACAGGGAACGACCCTCATCCGCAAGAGATGCGTTAAACAAGATTGCGCGCGAAGACTTTGGAAGGCCAGCCGGACTGTCTTTTTCTCCTGGGAGTATTGATCATTGATCACACCGATGAAAACATTCATCATGAAGACGGAGAAGAAGAGAACTCCAAAAAGAAGCAGCACCTGCTCCATATTATCCTTCAGCGGGGTGTCATCCAATTCATTTGCAATGAGCTTGGTAAAAGTCCCCCACACGGAATTCGGCCAAAGCCGCTGGTGCTCCCCGTCCAGGTCCTGGTCGTGCACCGCATAAAGGGCATGAGTTAAGGCAAGAAAGCCCAAGAGAGTGAAGAGAATGGCAGGAACCAGGCCGCGAAGCAAATGTTGAAGCGGTAGCAAAGCGTGACCAATCTTCTCAGTCAAGGTGGCACCCTCCAAAAGGCGCGCCCAATACGTGAGAACCACTAAGACTTGAAGCAGCCTCGAGTCGTAGAACCACAGCAGAAAAATTGGCAAAAGGCTGCGGAAGAGATCCCAGAAGTTGCCAAAGTTCCAGTAGCAGCCTTTCTGGCTTATGAAAAGACACCCCGCGAACTGCAGGATTTCAAGAATCAAATCCACAAAGCCTTTTGCAATGATCCAATCTGCCACAACAGCCCTCTCATGCTGCAACTCCTTCCCTGCGATGTCGAGGGTCCAGCTTGATGTAAAGACACTGGTCAGTTGCTGTCTGCAAGGGTTCTCCATTGTCTGATTTGTGGCGTTCACTGCGTTCGCCAGCATTCCATTGCAGTTGGTCTCGCGGGCACGCCATGTCTCGGCAATCAGCAAGCCCAATCCCCACAAAGAGAAGATGAATTGCAACATGTCAGTCCAAACTGCACGTTTCCAGAACACGAAGGAGACGGCTGCACGGACAGGCAAACTCTCAAAGAGGAACAAGGCCGGTTTGTCTCCGACTCGAGCACCTAGCACTGCTGAGAAAAACCCAGGGGTGATGATGTCAGGAACTCGACAAAGTTGGATCTTGATCTCCTTCATCTCCTCTTCATGCTGCCCCGTCTGAGTCAGCTGGCCTCAGTCAGTCTGCCCAATTTACGGTGCGTCCAATCCAGGTTCCTTTGCCTAAATGGCGCTCGTGTGGGCACCAAAATAATTTGTCACACTATCTCAGGATATCTCAGGAAAGTTGAAACTTCCATGTTATGGACATATGGAAAGTAGAAAGTAAGTATATATAACCGTTGCACAGCAACAGCAACACAGGAAACAGTTGCACAGCAACAGTGAGAGAGAGAGAGAGAGCAACAGTTGCACAGCAACAGTAACGTAAGTAACACTTGCACAGTTTGACGCCCTGACTGTAAAACCTAATGATTGCTTGAGCATGTCAAGAGTATGGAGGTTCTGGCAACAAGAGTAGGCATGCTCCTTTCGAGAGATCAAAAGAGGCGCAAAGAAGAAAGAAAACCATTCTTTTCAATGTCAACGGTCAGAGACTCCGCAGCGGAGGGCGGAGCTGGGCGGAGCCGGGCGGAGCCGGGCGGGCGGAGGAGTATGTATGGCGTTGGCGGTGCGTGGAAGGCGTTGCCACCCTGTCCGCGGGCTTTGCGGGCCGTAGGCATTCACGCCCCATCTCCAACGTTCCAATTTGTGGAGGAAGTCTTGCAGAATGACTGCCTGGCAACTTTTTAGTATTGAGTGGGAGTGGCCTGGACCACCCGGCTCAGAACCGGCCACTTCGCAGTAGAAAAGTCGACATGTCGAAAATCGAGCCACGGTGGCACACGGTGTGGCGAAATCCACGGTGGCCATGTGGAGAACGGTCCATGTAAACGGATGCTGCGTGAGCGGTATGATTGGTGGCGTGAATCACGCTTGATGTCCCACGGTCGCAAACACGACGCATGGCACTGCCATAGGACTGCTGCCCCAGACAGACCCCCCAGTCCACCACCCCTGGCCGTTTCTGCAGTCTGGCAGTCCCAAACACGTCGTGTCTGCACAGGAAGCATGGCATGTCGATGCCATGCGATGGCGGTCCACCGATGCGTTGGGCCCAACGATCGACGAGAGTGAAGCACGAAGTTTCTTGGAAGATCCTTTTCGATCCGTTTCGAAGTCACCGAAAGTGTCTACTGTTTATGGTCTTTGACTCCGGAATATGCTGCGGGTTAACGATAGTCAACAGTCCATATCCTCCATAGAAACTTGCGCCTGCGTCGGAAGCGCGGGTACTAGATGTGTTCTGTAAAGTGCCGCAACGTGGCGTTTGTGCCAACGATCGTCACGGGTTCCATCCGGTGCAGAATGAAACGCCTACAAATTGGAAAGCTCTGCCGTTTCTATCGAAGGAGCTGTGCCAGCTCCGCTCCTCCTTCCACTCGGCATCCGTCTCGTAGAAGCACTTCAACTGAAAGCACGATTGCGACAGGCCCAAGAGCCTGAAAAGCGCGTTCTGCGGGCCCAAGCTCACACGTTCTGGTAGCTTGTTATAGCCATCGCTTCGGTCTGGAGGATGAAAGCTACAGCTCTCAATCAAAGCCTCTGCAGCACTAGGACTGTTGCGCAAGAGCTTTTCCAAGTCATCACCTCAAATGCAAAAGGGCGCACATGTTGCAGAAAACCAGCCACAAGCTCTACCCAAAAGCTCGACTTTTGACTCCCTCCGCCCCTGAGTGCCAAAAAGCCGGTCACCCAAACAAGGTCTTTGGCCCAACAAGCCGGATTGCAAAATACACCATATGAGGACGATACATGAGGATACATATGTTAATACGTCTCCTCTTGTCCCAAACAAGCCTCTGAAAAAAAAGAACAAATGGTAAGTTAAGAAAGACCGGCCCAAACATGCTAAGCCAGCGCTGCCTCGGCGCTGGTGAGCCTGTCGCATGTTGGTATGACTCCCTCCTTTTGCTCCGGCCAAAGAGCTTCCGCCAGCTCTTCCCTCCTGGATCCCAACATCTGCAAGAAGCTTGGGATGCACTCAGGGGCTCGATCAATGAACAGCTTCAGGCTGGCCACATAACAGGGACTTAAACTGTTCAATTGAGCAATCCGAGCAAGGGATTTTTGACTGAACATACCTGACATGATGCAGCAATGGGCCATCCTTGCAAGGGACTCCCGGTTCATCATCCCGGAACGGAAGCCAATCTCAAGGGGCGTCTCTGGGCGGATCCCTTCAGCATCATCAGGGTGAACCCAGTAGCCATTTTGCTCTTTCCGCTTTTTCATGAGTTCGTGCACTGCCTGGATGGTTTCCTCATTTCCAGTGGAGAAAGCGAGGTGCAAGCTGGTATCCCCATTGGCATTGGTGCGGGATATATCGGCACCATGCTCGCAGAGCATCGTAATCATTTCACGGGAGCCACCGCTGCCTCCACGGAAGATCGCAGCTTGTAACACGCCATAGTTGTTGGAGTTTTGCCGGGTGACTTGGCTGTCCAACTGAGCTCCATGCTGCATGAGAAGCTTCAACAGCTGCACATGTCCACGGCTGGCCGCCAAATGAATCGCTTCTCCCGTACAAACCTGGTCGCCCTGGTCTTTATAGGGGACGATCCATGCAAATCTGGTATGAACCAGGCCTGGGTCTGCATGGCTCAGAAGCTGCTGGACACCTTCCTGGTCTCCTTCCTTGACTTTCTTGTGAAGCGTTTTCCCCCAGCATTTCCTTGGACTGGCTGTCGGATTCACATTGACACACATGTACTGAATCTTGAAAAGCACTTCATCTCCACAATCACGTACATACGTTCGTCTCGTTCTCCGTTTCGGGTGGGCCTATACCGATGTTTGTCTCCGACATTGCCAGGTCCACATGACGGCACGTATGTCGACATGTCGACCTGCATGTCAATGCAACGATGTCGAAATCCTCGTTCACTCGTGCCCAGAACCCCCCCAAAAAAGAAGGGGGGGTGTCTGGTCTTCTTCTCCTTTTCCAAAGGGTTTTTGGGTTTTCTTCCAAGGTTAATCCACACATATCCACACCGTGATTTTCAATGTTCCAAGCTTCCTCTTGTTCCAAGTGAACTCCGTGCCATTCGCACCATGACCATATCCTTTCGCTTCAGCCTCTGCGCTCATGGCTAAATGAGGACGCGTGAGTTCGGTGCGAAAAAGCACAGATTTCGCCCTGTTTTGAGCCTCTTGAGCTGCAAATGCATCGAGGTAGCATCGAGTATATAAATCCTCCAAATCCAGTCCTCCAGGCGAACTCAGCAAGTCAAATCTGCGAAAGCGTCCGCGTGACGGTTCTCAGCCTCACACCTCGCTGCGTCGCGTCACGTCACGTCATCACCCAAGGCAAGCAAAAAGTGAGGGCGGAAGCAGAAAGCAGACAACCTCTTTGCGCGGTACGTCTTCGCCCTTCTCAGCTCTGTCCGTCGAATCGGTCGGTCCGGGCGGGTGCCCGGAGGAGGATTACACGCCTGAGGGCGGTTCTTCCAGAAATCTTTGAGGATTCCTTACGGCAAGAGGAGTATTCAAGCCCAAGCAGTAGATATGACATTCATCCTATCGCCTCCTTCATTCACCAAAGTCAACGAAGATCGACATTCAGCAAAGTTCTTGCCTCTGCTCTCTGGCTGCTGCTGCTGCATGATTTGAAGAAATTGGAAGAACGTGTTGCCAGCGTCAGCCATTTTTGTGACAACTGATTTCAAAAAAATTGCCCGAGGTGGGCTATCCATCTGAATGTAGTTCACTTTGACGTCACAAAAAGTGGTGATCCAAGGTACAGTCGAAACCAAACAGGCTGTAAACAAACGAGTAATAGTATATATATATATATACATAATAGACAACTACATAGACAAGATTGCTTTTAGATTTCCTTCGACACCGGCAGCGGGGCAAATCTCATTTTCTCCGATTTCGCAGCGGTTTGCGGCAGCAAAGCGTCTCCGGCAAACAGCGCCAGAGCAAGCACCTCTCGCAAACAGCGTGTTCAGAAACTGTGCTGTGATAAGCAGTTGGTTGCTCGACCGCTGTTCAAGCCTGGCCATAACACAACTGGTTTCAACAGTACACACTCCCTGGCACGAGTGCCAGCATCTTCCTCCCAGCCAAAACACCTGGTTTTTCGTTGCCTACACAAGCAGATTGAGGTCGAGCTCAAAAACCACAAGAAATTCTCTCAGGTGGACGAATTCGAAAAGTGCAGTTACAATTCTGGTGGCTGTTCCAGCTTTGCGAAGAACCATCCACCGTCACCATCGCCACATTGCTGGCATTGAAAAAATAGAACTAAAAAGATCAGTGCAAAACTGAAACATCCACTATCTGGAAGGTGAGTCAAAGTTCAACGACAAATGCGTCAAAGCCGTGGGTCGCACCTCTTGGGGGGGCCAACGCAACGAGTTGGGCTATGAGGAGAAAAGTGGCGAACGGAAAAATCCCAGGGTACTGAAAAATCCCGGGCCATCTGCATCTTCCTCCCAGCCACAACACCAGTTTTTCGCCTACACAAGCAGATTGAGGTCGAGCTCCAAGAAGGACCCTGTGCGCGACTTGATTCTCTCCTGCACGCGATGAAGTCTGCAAAAACGGAAGGAATGAGTCATGAGAAGAGCCCTTCCACGCGCGGTCCGCGGTCCAGACGGGCGCTCGGTCCAGACAAGTGAACTGGGCGCCGGCGCCTTTCACCCGTCTCGTCGCGTGCGAAACGAGCCTTCTCGGAGCCGCTGCTGTTCGTCGCGAAGAGAGGCCACATCACAAAGGCCTCACAAAGGGTCGGTCCTTTCGGTATGGGAACCCCAGCTGTGGCGGCCCTACTGAAGGTTGGCGCTTTTTTGCCTAGTCCATTAAGGTCGACTAGTTAGCTACTTAGACATGGACGCAGGAGAGCTCACACACTAATGATGTTGGTTCCTAAAGTGTGGGGGAAATTCCTGTGAAGAAGAATGACTCAGCACAACAAGGAAGAGCATGACCACAAATGCCTGGCATGGAATTGCGTCGAAAAACAGACCAGCCAGGCCCTCGGATCAAAACGCACGTCCTCGTCTGGGTGGAGGAACAACTGCACCGTGCCCCGTCTCCGGGTGGTCTGCCCCGTCTGCGCTCGTCTGCGCTCGCCGGTGTCGTCCGTTCTTTTGGGCGTTCCGGACCGGAGCCAGCGTGATTGGGCTCGGAGCCGCGCTGGTGGCCGGAGGGGCTTCATCGGCCTGAGGTCTCAGACTCACACGTGAATAGTGGTTGTTTTTGTATATGTTTTGATATAGCTGTATAGGGACCCTCCACTCAAGTCGTGATGTGTATATGTATGTGTGTGTGTGTGTTTTTGACCGGAGTTCCGGGTGGGGGGGAATCGACGATGGTCGTGAAATGACAAGTGTGTATTGCTTCATGTTCAGTTTACATCAACTCCTTTCAAGCTGATAAGTTGTTTGCTCTTCCTACTAATCACTCCACTGAGCCTTCAAAAAAAGACGAACTGAGCAACACACACCAGTGGCTGCTGCACCCATAATCGCAGATCCCATGAACGCCTGCATTGACGTCTGAAGAGAAGACCAAACCGAGCGGTCAGCAAGGCAAAGCAATCAAGGCATCGTCTCAGCTGTTTCTCGTTGATCTCACGCTTGACTGCTGTGGCCTTCTTGGCTGCTTCGGCCATACACTCTTTCACTTGTTCACAGGCAGGTGGCGCCTCAGATGTCCCGGTCACGCCCGAACTCCGTGTGTCGCACGAACCGACTGTGGCCACTCCCCGAGCCACGCGATGCGGCGTTCTGAGTCGCCCGAGCCACGCAATCCTTGGCCGTGATGTGGAAGACCACCATACCGCCCAGCCCAGCGCCTCAGATCGGTGGACACTCAGATGGAGCCGCGATGAAAATCCTCGGTCTTAGACTAGTGCCTTCCTCCAGTTCAACTGAGTCACAGTTGAAAAAAAACAAATATAACATCATGCAACAATGCAAAAGCCGCAAATGGTCGGTTCGGCACCTGCTGCAGCGCCGATGTTGCTTGAGCTGGTATCCGCAAATACAGTCGCATCCTTCAGCAAATCTTTCAGAACCACGTTTGCAAATCTGGGTGAAGGATGTGCTAGCTGCTGAACAGGGGATGCAACGCCACGTAAACCAAACAAAAAATGAACATGAGGACATTCTCTGCCTCGTTGGAGCGATTAGCTTCCTTCATACGTTACATTTCCAAGGCCTCTGCCGCCCTTGCCGTAAGTGTCTTTCTCTTCGAAAACGGCAGCGGATTCTTAAGCTAGCAGCCAGACACTTCTGCCGGGACCGTCCGAATCGTTCCGACGGTGCGTCGAACCGTTTGGAAAAAAAGAGAGGTCTTCAAGGCGCGCGCCTGCAACTTCGGCATGACGGCTCACCTCCTAAGGCCAGAACAAAGCGAGCGCCAGACTGTATTAGTGCGTCTGCCGGGAGAGAGAGAGGGAGAGGGAGAGAGAGAGAGAGAGAGAGACAAAACCACCGGACGAAGATCGTCTGCCATCCACGTGCTTTTGTGCAAACGGTGTGAAAATGGCTCAAGGATGGTCAACTCGCCTCAAGTTCGTCCATTGCCCATGGCTACAGGCAACGAAAAGGCAACTTTGGCCAGCCAAGAAGGAGGACCTAAAGAACCTGAAGTGCTTCCTCATGTGGACCATAGCAAATGCTTGGGAAAGGGACACCCTCTCCAGCTGCAGAAAGAGTTTGCTGGCTATGGGAAAATCCAAAAAAAACAAAACGTATTCTGCTGAAACCGCATGGATGTGACGTGCTCTTTTCCCCTGCAAACTCCAGTCATCAGCCTTGCTTGCATCGGGTCACTTGGGTTTTTATCCAATCGCACTGGCTGCTGAAGCACCATGTCACATGACGGTCTCTGTCAAGCAATTCCTTCAGATGGCTGCTGATCTCATGACCGGGCAGCTGAAACGTTTGCGGAAAAATGGACTGAAAGCTCCAGTTCAAGTGGCCAATGACGCTGGTGCACTCATGGACTCATGGACATTCACAAGGTTCAGAGAACTATAGATCTCTGGAAAGCATGCAAATGCAAAGCTCAAAAGACTCTCCAAAGCATGCGTGCATGTCCACGCAAGGAGAAAACTAATTGAAGTTTGGGGAGGTGCAAGAAGTCCGGCACCCCATCTTCCTTGCTTTCAGAATGATCAGGGCAAATGACATGCACGGGAGTCCAGCTACTGCTGCCAGTTTTATCTAGCTACAGCCGCACCAGCAAAACGGTCACAGCAATCAGCGCGAGCAAAGTCTAGATCTGTATGTACAAACCGTTTTGAAGCAGTTTGACTGATATCGACACTGCTTCAAAAGGGTCTGCCTCACCAACGGGCCCTCTCCGCCTGTCAAAGCATGAATCACACACTACCTGAGATCATCGGAAATCCGTGAATGGTACCTGTTTGACCTGTTTGGTCAATCTGGATATCTGATCCTCCTCTGTTCGGGGCCACTTCCAACTCCAAAGCTCGGGGGGTCTCTCTCCCACCCACAGCGCCGCGTCGTCCCTGGGTGTCGGTGGCCAGTCCGGAGGGTCCCTTTTCTCCGGCAGGCAGGAAGGCGGACCTGCACTCCAGGTGTCAGTTCGGTGGCACTCCAAACTGGGCGCCGAAAATCATGAGGCGCAAAGCCAAGTTTGTGGCTTCACGTCAAGTGACGACGCCTGAAAACCGCCAACTATGTGCAATTTATTGGCATCTCTCAACATGTTGGTTTGTGGGTCAGAATTGGTGACCCGTCCTGGCAGGCTGCCCTGTCTCCTGTCCTTTCGACCTCGCACATGAAAAACACCCCGTGCGCTTCAGCCACACGACCAGCTCCAACAAGCCGTAGAAGGCGGCCTGGGACAACGAGGGCAGCGGAGGCTGCAAGGCGCCACTTAAGAAGGTCAGAGCAGTGCCGCACAGGAAGAGTGGCAAAGCCTTGGCGAACGGCTGAGCAAACTTACTTCAAGTATTCTGCACCACACAAGTGTCCAGAACATTGCCAAACACCAGCGTGTACCCGGAAACATTCCCGTGGTCCCACTGGAAACCAAAGCCTGGGCCATGTAATGGGCCATGCCTGTAATGCTCATGGTTCTCATCGTTGTTCGATCTATGATGAGCAGGGCGGCTTCACAAGTCGAGTGAACAGAAGCACACGGAGAGAGACCTGGAAACCCTAAGCAACCAGAAATCCAATATGGCAACTGAGACCCGCGTAAGTGGCTGCTTACGAAAACATCCATGATCCGCCTGCCATGGTCACTGTAAGGGTTGGGTACCCAGGGGCAACACCCAGTGGCTAAGAAGTGGGCGACCGGGAAATCCCAACTTCTATGGATGTCTAACTAGACCCATCCCAACAAATAGAACTGACGGCCCCACCTGCTGAAAATGTTGCCCCTCCCTCGCTCTCTCACTCTCTCACTCTCACTCTCACTCTCTCACTCTCTCTCACTCTCTCTCTCTCACTCTCTCACTCTCTCTCACTCTCTCTCTCTCTCTCTGTCACTCTCTCTCTCTCTCTCTCGCGCTCTCTCTCTCTCTCTGCTAAAAATTGCATTTGTAAATTCGATAATAGATATTATATACATAGACTTCGATATATTCAAAAGAAGCATTATTGCTATGATTGTGTATATAACATCATCATCATCATCATCACCACTATGACCATTATCATCATCCCAAAATAACAACAATGTTCCAAAATAACAAAATATGGTTTAAACATAACTCTGAATACCTTATCTAAAAAAACAATATTATCTTAAAAAAATGTTGCTCAATTGCAAAAATAACCTTCAATATATATATATATATGTATGTATGTATATATATATATATGTGTGTGTGTGTCTGTATAAACATTCAAAAAAAACTCACCCAAAAAGAGTCCTTTCCTTTTGTGTTCCCAAATCAACAAACAAATCATCACACACACACATGTTTCATCAAATCCACTAATTTAATCTGTCTGTGTGTCTGTCTGTCGGTGTGGATGCATGTACGTATGTACGTATGTAACTATGTACGTAGGTAGGTAGGTATGTATGTATGTCTGTCTGTATGTGTATGTATGTACGTACGTATGTAACTATGTACGTAGGTACACATGTATTTTTCTTCTAGAGTTGGGTTGTTGCGAGTAGCCGGTTTGGCTAGCCTAGCGCCGGTCAGTGCCTCAGAAGTAGTCCACTGCCATGCGCCCTTCATCAGGCTCAGACATTGTCCTCCATCAGCTCTTCCTCCGTCTGCTCAGACATTGTTGGGCTGGGGTTCATGGCATGGGGGTGGCTGGCCTGGCTCTGGAATGGAATTTTCCTGCGCAAACTAGGTCATGTGGTCTCAGGGTGCGCTGGCCCGGCCTGAGTGGAGGGGCTGGTTCTGGCATTGGCGCTCATGGCTTCACAGAAACTGAGCTTCCTTGGTGCCATTGGAGAAACTTTGGAAGTCTGGGAGGCCATCTGCGGTGTTGCAACCCCGTCTGAAGAGGTTGGCTGCTCCGCCATGGCTGTGGAGGTTGCCTGCGGCAGCTCTTCTGTTTGTTGACTGGCCTTCTCTGCCTGTCGCCGGAAGAGTTCGACCAAGGGTGGTGAACCACTGACGGCTGCTCCCTTGCATATCTTCTGGAGTGCTCCTGTCACTATTGGGCGCTATCGCGCGTCAAGGTGGACTTGAACGCCGCACGCACTTCCATGGACAAAGGCCTGAAAGGCCGCCTGTGGACGCTGCAACCACACTTCCCACAGCGTAAATACCCTTTTGTCTCCTCAAGGGCATGGGTCTCATTGGCTGGGGGTTTCTCCTGTTGCTGGGCCAGGAGATTGCTGATCACCTGAGCTCGTGTGAGCTTCTTGGGGAGTGGCTTGCGCGGGCTGCGCTGGTCTGGATATTCCTCATCCAAGCGCAAGAGGGGGCATGTTTGCGCAAGCCTCTCCTCAATGATCGAGACCGTAAGCGCTTGGTGGATCCTGAGGCCACAGGCACTGGCACTGCAATGGAAGCCACTACGGTTGGGTTGCCAGAAGTGATGGGGTGCCGTCCAGGGTTTGTGGCACTGCTGCACCAGTTGTTTTTTGCGCTGTTTCGTCTGCCTGCCCTGGTGGCTTTCTGGTGGATGTAATGGTCCTTGGCTGCATAGACCTTGGCCAGCCTTGCTGCAGCATGCTTGTAAATTTCGGTGTGATCTTGGTCTAAGACCTGCTGCCATTCAGTAGTTCTTCGATCGTGCATGGCATTTGCTCGTTCCCAAGCAACTAAAGCTGCATCCCGCTGTCTTCGCTTGAGGTGCGGCCCACTGCCTGGGGTGCGAGTGTTTCGGCTGACATACAAGACTGTCACCCTTTGTAGATCTTGGTCAGTGAGACCTTCGAAGGGATCCATATAGAGCTGTCTGTGCCTCACGTGGGTCCGTGCTTCACACACCGCCACAACTTGCACAATGACCTTCACGTAGGTGCTGGTATGCTTGGCCAGAGCAACCAGTCCTGCAAGTAGTGCTCTGGTTTTGTTTTGTGGGTTGCTTGGTATGCCAGTGAGCGCTCCAAGTCTTTGAAGTTGTCCCAAGCTCATGGCATGCACACAGAGTCCAAAAAACCATACTTGGCTGCGCTGGTCATAGGTGGAGGGTGTGGCGTCCAGCGTGAAGGCCCAGCCCTGGTGTTGGTGTGGTGCCAGAACCTGTAGGTCCTGCCAGGTGCCATGGCCTTGGTATGCATGCTCAATCTGGCGGTGCTCTTCTGGTTCCAGAGCTATCCAACCTGCACTCCATAAAGGGTCCTCATCATGTTGAGTGATTCTCTCTGCCCAGGCTGGTGGCATTGGTTTGTGTCCCTGTCCATGGTGCCATTTACACAGCCATAGGATGTGTTTCGGGGTTGCCGGGACACAACAGATGGGACATTGCTTGGGTTGTCCGTTGTCTCGAAATTGGACTGCACCTTGAACCCATGTTTTGAGATGGGTCTTGTGTTCAGTTGGCATCTGCTTGATCTGCTGGTGGTACACATGCCAGTCCAGCCCAGTGATGAGGTGCTGGTGGTATTGTCGTTGAGCCAGCCTGTTGGTGCGCTGGTTTTGTGCTTCCTGGAGGAGGGTTTTCTCCATCTTCCACCATGGATCTTGGATGGAGAGCTCCATCTCCAAGAGCAGTGGGGTGGCAGGCCTTGTCCAGCGCCGTAGGTCTTGCACCCTCCCCAAGAGGTCACGGAGTGCTCTATCAGTGGCCTTGTCTGTGGCAATGAAGGCCGTCTTCTTGGGGTTCACGCGTAGGCCAAGGTCAACCAGTTTGCTGCGTAGATCTCGGTAGGCCTTAACCGCAGTTTGGGCCGCTTGGAGCGGTGTCTGTCCTGCAGTGTCGAAGCCAACATCGTCTACCCAACTTGATAGGTGCACTTGAGCATGTTTCTCCTTCCAGGGTATCAAAGCTGGTGCAAGAACAGCTTTGGCCAGCAACGGGGCCTGCGGGCATCCTGCTGGAACTCCATGATCGACTCTGAAAAAGGGTGTGAGCTCCTGCTCTGCCATGACTGCCTTTGGCCCTGTGTATAGTTGCATGGCCAGTTCAAGCAGCAAAGGCGGGTAGTTGAGCTTGAGGGCCTCTTCTTGCAGTTTGCTCAGCTGAATCGTGTCGTAAAGGGTGGACATGTCCATCAACACTGTGACTCCATGGTGTCCTCTGGCCTTGTGCACTTCTTGACGGAGGAGGCGCTCTAAGGCTACGTGGAGGACATTGGCTCCAGGTCGTGCTCGATCGTGGTCGATGGTGGGTGGTAGCTGCTTCTGCCATTGTTCCAAGAGTGGTTTGCGGAGCCTGCACCAGATTCTCCAGAGCACTGACGTGAGCGTGATGGGTCTTTCAGGTACGTATGTATGCATGCATGGATTTATGTGTGTATGTATCTGTGTCTCTGTCCGTGTCTATGTCTATGTCTATTCCTATGTCTATGTCTATCGTATACGTATACGTGTATATGTATATGTATATGTATATATTTCTTTGATATATGCCAACATATATAAGTATATAACATGTGAAATATGAGGTGTGTGCAAGTTGCGGAGTAGTGCATCACACAGCAGACCGAACAGCAACAAGTGCAGCACAGTAACAGCAACAAAAAGAAACAGAAGCAACAAGAGCATAAAAGTAGCAAAAGCAGCAAAGCAACCAAAGCAACAAAAAGCAGACGAGCCGATATATTTTTTTTAGCAAAAACCCAGGCAACACCAAACGCTAAGAAGCTGCAAATCCAAAAACAGTAAAAGCAAAAGCAAGTCTGATTCAAAAAATACAAATATTTTATTTAAAAAAAAAAAAACGATGGATTCAAATAAAAGAACGCACACCCAAAGACCCGTTCTTTGTATTGCTACTGTTTCCGTCCGGAGGGACGGAAACGGAATCCGTCCGGCCGTCCGGACCAGAAGACGTGTCGGGCCGACAACAGTCCAAACTGTCAGGCGCTGTCAGGTCACGACTGTCATGACTGGTCCTCTTTTCTGCGAATCTGTTTAGCAGTTTTTAGCCCAAACTTGAGGCCGCAAAACATCTTTTTGAATGGAACACACACCAAAAGGCAACACAAGCAAGACATGAACGGCCGGGCAGTCGAAAGTCAAAAAGGTAGAAACTCTACAAATGCCAACGGCTTACATTCTTTGTTCGTTTTTGACAAGGGCTCAACCCTTTACAAAAAGTCACAGTGACGTGCTCCAATTCTCCTCCAAATTGGGCCAAAGAGAAGGAGCTCAAGCCAGGCCGTTTAGTCTGAGCACCCGGAAGGTTGGGAGATCCATTTTGTTTCTGGTTGGGACCAAATGGTCCTTCGAACATCTCCAGAACTGGAGAGTTGAGAATTCGACTCGAGGCCCTGAGGCCCTTTTTTGGGCCTCCCGCGGAGTCCCGGGACCGTGGTCGCTCGTGGTCGGTTCTGCTCAAGGAGCCAGCAGGAGCACCAGCACATCCATCAGTGCTTCACGGGCAGCTGTGGGCTGCCGCGTGCGGAAGCGATGCGCGAGGTTGGCCAAGTTCTCCTCAGAGTTCGGATCCTTTCTAGTGCACTCGAAAGTGGTCAGAATCTTGACTAGTCAGCTCTTGATCGTCGCTCCTTTCGAGTGAATCAAAGATGGATTTCTTGACTTGTGACATCTTTCTGACCTGCCTCAAGGCCTCAATTGACAGGTCGAGGCCCTTCTTTTGATTTTGGACGAGGCGATCTTCCTGTTTCATATCTGGGATGGTCGTATATATAAATACTATAAATTAACAACCATAACATACCTGGACAGCTGGCTGCGTCTGTTCCGCTTCCATCTGTGTATTCGACCATGATTTCACCGAAATTCCACCGACGTCCGACCCTTGACCCCACCGTCCGACCCTAAAAAACACAAGTCAACTCTCGAAGGTGTTTTTGGGCGAAGCCAAAAAGGATGTTGGATTCTTCCATCTACCTGGTCTCGTCCGCCCAAACTTGAGCAGTCAGAAGGTGAAATCAGTTGGAAGCCGGTCGAGGATCACCGTTGGGAAAACCCCACAGGGTGAGTTTTGAAGGGTGTGCCGCCTTATATCTACACATCAACCTGTTCATCAGTTGGAGCTACAAATCATTGACCCATGGCTAGGTTGAGTTGAGGATCGATATTGAGCGGACAGGCCAACAAACACATCGTAAGGCCACTCAAAAGCCAGTTGATGGCAATAAGCCAGTGCTGCGTCTTCGCATTCATGGCTGCAAGGTCCATGCAGGCCCACAGGAAAGGGACGCTCGCCTTGGATTACTTGCATCATGACTGCAGACACCAACTCTCGGAATTGAATGAAAACGACACACGAACGAAGCTGCTAAGGACGAAAAAGAGGCCCAGCGCCGCACGCTTCTGGGATCCCAACAACGTCCCAACGTTTGTCTCGCTCGCCCCAAACCCCGCCCGGTGACGGCGATCCGCCATGGTCGGGTGAAGACCGACTGCTCCAGCTCTGACGTGAGGGTCTCTAAAACCTCGGAACGCACACAGTCTTCGAAGGCCTCCTGGCTGCCGAACCAAATGGTGATGCAATCCTTCACGATTTCGCGGTCACACGTCATGTCGCCCTCGTGGTTCAGGTCGCAGCAAATACTTCTGGTCCTTTCCAAGTTGACGCTTTGCAACTTCTCCTTTAGGTCATCCACGGATTGAAAGTAGGAACGGAAGGCGTGGGCACAGCATAAAGCACCAAACGCTCCAAAGACGCACACGAACACCATGGGAATCAGAAAAGAAGCATCGAGCGGGAAAGTCGTCAGTGGCACCACAGCCAGGAACATCCCCAAGAAGGTGGCAACGACACACGGCCCCATAAAGGTAGGTGTTACCAGCAACCGGGAATGCTCACTATCAGCTTTGCTCTTCAGGAAGGCACTCAGTTCGAACAAACACCAAAGGCGATCACTCCAACTTGAGTCCCAAAGTACCAACATCTCCCGGGAGCGCTTCAGCATCCCAGCGAGGCTTAGGATTTGCTCTGCCTTGAGCTGCGGATCACTTTCGGTGATGCAAATCCGGTCCAGGAAAACATGCTGCTGCGGCCGCCAAAAGACAAAGACAAGTGCTGTGACCAAGAAGCCCGTTCCAAGTGACCTAGGTCTATGAGCGAAGTGCAAGTGATGTTCACGAACTTGCTTCATGTCTATCAAAGCCTACCAAATCGGCGATTGTACTGTCTGTATGTCAACATATCAGTCTGGGCTGTCTGGGCAACTTGTGCCCAAACAACCTTTCACATCCGCAGTGCAGCCCTACCTTTTGGGATCTCTGGGGCACACACACTCTCCCACCTTTGGACGAGTCATGACGAGCACTGCAAGGGTTCGATGACGAGCACAGCGCCGGTCGCCGGTCATGTCTTAAGATCCCCTGTATGTCATTACGCCGTACACCCCGAACGCACACCGTGTATCAGAGCCAAAATAAACCCAACACAAAAAGGCAAAAGAAAAGTCGGTGGCTTCTCCAAGCTGCCACGCGGAATGATCACTCGGAGAATCAGCAACTCTTTGGAATCCTGGAAGAGATCCGAAGGTGAAAAGCACCAACATCACCAGAGCAGCCAGAACACCACAAAGTATCGCCGGCAGGCCGTTGTAGAGTGTGAGCAGCGTAACCACCTTCTTGCGCCGCCCACCATGCCAGGAGTGAGACCAAAAACAGGAGATCTGGTCGCTCACCTTGTCACCGAGTTAGGAAGGAGATGCGAAGATGAATGAAAATCACCAAATGTGCAATGAGTTGGGGGGTGGTTGAACTGGCAAATAATACACGGGAATCAGCAACCAAAGGGTCTTGAAGTTGAAGAACGAGCACCAAAAATGGAGTGTTTACTATGGATCGTTTTCATGTTCCCCAAGCTCCACTTGGCGTTCTTTCAGGGAGTCCACCTCAGTCCACCTCAGTCGAGTGAGGATCAAAGTAAAGTGGTGTCATTTGCTGGGATTTGCAGCATCCAAACAGGTCCAAACTGAAACTGGAAGTCACCCCCTCTGCCACTCTCTGCCAGTGTCAGAGTTACAAAACTCTTCGCAAAGAGATCCTGCCGCAGCCGTAGTCGAAAGACCCTGCCACAGCCCTGGAGTGCCCGGACGGCCAAGGTGACGCGCAAGGCTTCCGGTCGCATCAGCTCCATCTGGGCCACCACAGCCTAAGGCTGGGAGTCGATGGGCCAGTGGTCGATGGACCAGTGGGGTCCGGTCCGTGGGGTCGCCGGACGCCAGCACTTCAGCGGGAGACCATGTCGGTCCGGCGTCGTCGTCCCAGTCCTGTCGGTCCGGTAGACAGTTGCCACGTCCAACCGGTAAGGACGAGCAATTGGGAGCGGATCCCATCTGGGTTGGGGGTCGAATGAAGGAGTACGGCCTACACCATCTAGACCTGTTCAGGCAGTACGGCCTACGCTCCGACTCCACCACACACTCCAAAGCACCGTCATTTACCAACTCCTTTTCATGCCCAGGGGCTGCCAAATTGTTCAATAGCTCCGGTCGCTCACGTGGCACTGGCGCTGTCAAGTCCTCCATGGTGGACCACGAAAATCGTGCTCTCGCTTCCCCTCTCACCAGTGCGTTTCACGCAAAGGGCTAAGGAAGAAGTCTGGAGGAAAAGTTCTATCCCCAGAATCCAGAGCCAAAAAGACGTGAGCGCCATCGAAAACACCCATATGAGAAGAAGTTCGCCCCGTGCTTTCCTACACACACTTGCCTTGGCCTGCTGGTTCTTATTGCTGTGGCAAGGCATGTTAGAGACAGGTTGAGAAGCATAGACGAAGTTCGGCGGAGATCGTCTACCAACCTTGGGGCGGACTCTCTTCAGAGCCCAGTTCCAGCGCCTGCCTCTTCAGCCGGTGCTCCGTCCGTGCTCGCGAACCTGCCAACGTTCACCCACCAACCGCTCTCGTCCACTCTTGTGGATGGAGAATTAGAGCTGGGGAAGCCGGGTGACCCCATCTGGGGCCCAACCAGCCGAGCGCATTTGCCGCGAACGAACGACCGACAGCGTCGGCTATAGGGCGTCTCAGCAGCAGCGAAGTCCGCTGCGTCTCGCTTGCCGCGAAGTCCGGTGGTGAAGAACTAGAGTTGCGAGTGGAGTCCAAAGGGTCTCGAAAAGGAGTTGGACCTGGTCTTTTGGATACCGACATATCATACAAGGATATACAAGGCTTATGTACCAGGACCTTCCCAGTGACCTTTTTGGAATCCTAAGTGACCTTTTACAAGCCTAAGTGACCTCAAACCAGGGGATCAAAAGGTCACTGGGAAGATCCAGGTATATAGTGTTGATTAATAAAACAGCCCCCACATGATGTTAAACCATTCTTTTTATCCTGGATACAGTCTGCGGAATTTGAGACCAGTGCGGTCACCAGTCACATGCCCCCGGATGCCCAGTCTGGCCCGAGAGTCTCACCACCCAAAGACTCTGCGGACGTTGAGAAAAGGCCATGGTGGCCGTGACAGTTCAGAAGACAGGTGTTTTTTCTTCTTTTCAGGTGGAAGTACGGTGCCACCTGCTGCTAAAGGAAACCTGCAGCTGCCAGCAAGATAGCTGCCCAAACCAGGAAACAGAACCAGCAAGGGATCTGAGATGGATTTCAAGCGTCAAATCATTGAAAACGTGTAAACTTATTGGATTCCTCCAACTGAGGATGCTGAGGACGTCAAGCGCGCCCGGGTAAGCGTCGAGTAACCGCGCCACGGGTGGCCGAGCCGACGAGAGTGTTCGCCGAGTGACCCGAGGAGATCAAGATGTTCGTTCGGGATTCAAGCTATTGAATTATGGGCCAGGCTTGAAAACTGGGGTGATGTAGGATCAAGTGTGCACATCTTCGTGAGCTAGCTAGCCTTGATGTTTCTCACGTCTCGTCTCTTGTGAGCACATTGTTTTGAGTGTTGAGTCTAGAGCTGCACTCCATGCGTGATCATGCGTGATCATGCCTTTTTTGTGAAACACACTGAAACGAATCATAATACTAAATACCATCCTCCAATCCCAGAATCCCATGAAGTTCTGAAGAGAATGCTTCGAGTTATGCAAAGTTACAGTGGCCCAAGTTCCAATCGATGTGGTCTGCACACCGGACCTGATGTATGCCTTCAGCCACATCCGACCCGACAACAGCACATGGTCATAGAGCCAGCCAGGCACGGCAGCACAAAAAGAACAGTGATCACTTCAGCAACACAACTGACTGTGCATCACCACAAACAAACAAACACCTACAAACACGGTTTATCGCCATCCATCATCACTAAAAATGGCTGGCATATCATGACCTCATCATTCTGATCATGATCACTTCATGTGCTTGGCGACGTCCCACCTCGCCGCTCTGATCAACATGACGGCCTGGCGACGCACGTCACGACGTCATGACGTCAAGTCATCCGGATGCATACCTTCTCGGCATGTAGTTGAAGCAACCACTAAATCCCCAATTAGGTTGAAGCCGCTTGAAGCCCGGGCTCCCATCAAACGAAAGGTGCTCTGTGGAACGTCCAAGTCTTGGATCGTCTGTACGCGCTTTCTCCGCTTTTCTACGTCACTGCGCGCAGTTCGGTTTTGGACGCCCGCACACAAACCCGTGCCCGAAAAATGAGGTGCCCAGTCCAGTCGCCAAGTTTTTGGCTTCGAGGATTCGAGGCACCCGAGGCACCATTCGCCGCCCCTCGGCCGCTGGTGATCTGTTCGTTCAAAATTGGTGCCCTATCCTGGCAGACGGCCCTGACTCCTGTCCTTTCAACCTCGCACGTGGACATCTCCTGCGCTTCAGCCACACTACCAGCTCCAGCAAGCCGTAGAAGGCGGCCACAACGAGGGCAGCGGAGGCTGCAAGGCGCCACTTAAGAAGGTCAGAGCAGTGCCGCACAAGACGAGTGGTGCTACCTGGGCGATTGGCAGGAGAGGTATATGGATGATACTGTACCTTTAGTGGAAGCTGTCTGCAAAAGTTACCCGCATCGCACCCCACCATTTGTATCCATTTGTTGGGATCAGTGGCTAGATAGCGGATCTCTGCAAAGTGGCCCAGGGTCGAATTCTTTTACTCGAAACCAGAAGCACCAATGAGCCCTGATGGGCCATGGCTCCTGTATATGGCAGGTGCTCCATAATTTGGGTCTATCCTATTCCAGTGGATGATTCAATCTATATATTAAATCATATTCAAACTATTATATATTATAATAGTGGGTCTATCCTATATATTCTAATCTATCCTATGTTAGTGAAGGCCTTGTTCAAACATGCTTTCTTTGTTGACCGACTCTAAGAGGTCATAGGACTGGGATCCACTTCCAGCTACTCCTGTGAATCGACGAGGATTCGGACAGAAGATGCCAAAGTAGACAAAGACTGAACATGCGTTCACAAAACAGCTTTTGAGTTGTTTAAGATGCAACTTCTGTTTGGGCCCAAAGAAGCCAACCAAGAAGGGATCCTGATATTCCTGTCATCTCTAGTCACGAAGTGTTGAATCGATGTTTGCTTCGCCAGCACAGCACTCCCTAGGCCCTGAACCACTCCTTAGGTCCAAGGCGCCAGCAGGAGCACCAGCACATCCATCAGTGCTTCACGACCAGCTGTGGGCTGCCGCGCACGGAAGCGATGGGCCAGGCTGGCCATGTTCTCCTCAGTGGGAGCAACAGTGGTTCTTTTCGACTGAAGGAGCCGAGCCGATCGACTGGGCACAGCAACTCGATCGGCGGTGCCGATCGAGATGAAGAGAATCAGATGTAAAGCAGCTAGACAAACCGCAAGAACGGACGCCACCAACTGATTGGTGAAACTTCAGCGGCCACAGGTCCTGTTTGGACGAGCTTGGATGTCATCCTCAATCCTCTCCTCACATCGCTGTTCATGAGTTGGAGCTACAGATCGTTGCATGGCACACACGTAAGGCGGCTGAGGATCAATGTTGAGGGGACCAGCCAACAAACACACCGTAAGGCCACTCAAAAGCCAGTTGATGGCAATAAGCCAGTGCTGCATCTTGGCATCGCTGGCTGCAAGGTCCATGCAGGCCCACAGGAAGGGGATGCTTGGATGCCCGTCGTGGTTGCTAAACCTCTGTCTCATTTACTACGTCTTTAGCCTACTTATAAACACATTTAGCACTCGTTTGCGCCACTTAGCTAAACATGTTTATACCACTTCTGTAACCATGTTTAGCGCCTTTGTAACCATGATTAGATAAACGCGATAACCAGGACTAACCCTGAAAATATGAGCCCGCATATGGGCTCTTTTTGACATTCCGCGTCGCGTTTTTTTCGCAAAAGCGCGAGCTCTGCGTGCGCCCTGCGCTATGCGAGCTCTTGCAAGAAGCCCTGCGAGTCCTGGCCGTGGCGGAGATTTCCGGACACCGGCGCCACGTCGTGGAGGCAGGGCGCCACGTTTTGGAAAGCCGCGCTGATCAGAGGCAGGGCCTGCTCTTGCGGCTCGCGTATTTTGTGACCATGCAGGGCCAGCAACGGCTCGCTTCAAGGTATATAGATCTTTCTCGGATCCACAAGGCACATCGACCAGGACCACGGTGATCGCCTGGCAGAAACGAGCGATCGAACGATGGAACGACGAAACGAAATGACGAGACTCGATCGAACGGTGCACTGCACAGAAAACATGAAGTTCCTGCGTGTAAAAAAGGAGGCCTGTCACGCAACTGGGTTGCAAAACGTCAGGTTCCATGTCAAAAATGAAGCCTGTCATGCAACATGGGTGCAATCTTTTCAAGGGATCACGGTTGCCACGTCTCCACCGACATAAAACGGGATTGCCCTTTGAAGGCTTTCTGTCGGCACCAATTCTGGTGCCTCAGTCATTCGGAACTGATTGGGGCCTGCAGGCTTCCACTTGGAAACGACTGAGTGAAATGAAGCGCCACTGACTTCTGACACAACCTGCAAATGGAACCAGATCTCAACCATGTGCGCGCTAGTCTGCGCACAATCTCCACGCGACACGTTCTCATAGTTGCAAAGGGCGTCGAAAGAAACAAACACTTCAAAGCTCGAGTCCAAAGTGTGGCCAAGGTTTCGTTGCAGCTCCATGGTCAACTCTGCAGAAGCTTTCAAGGGATTGTGAAGCACTACCCCAGACTTGCAGTCCCATTCGTTTGTCTCCAGCAGCTGCGCCAAGACCACCTCTTCTAAGATGCCCCTCTCCCACGAGACTTTCCTGTTGGCGTTCGTGCTGTGATTGCCATGTCTTTTGAGCTGTCGGTGCTTCCTTTCATGCACCCAACAACTCGTCAATTGGCCGTCTCGGGCCAGAAACGACGGCAAGTGAAGGCTATAGTGAGCCTTGGGTTGCATACACGCCGGTCCGTACGCGGCCAGGCGATCGCAAAGGTGACTCTCAATGCGTTGCCGCAACTCCTCAGTATTTCAAGTTTATATCTATAATATTTTGTTGCGTTTACTCTTTGTTTAAAACTCGGCATGACTTACAACGGTTTCGTTCCAAACGAGCAACTGTTTGTCAGATGCCCTGTCAAAGCGTGGCAACACAAGGAACACACCATACTTCTTTAGACTTCGAATGAAAGCTGAAACCGTTCCAAACGAGCAGCTGTCTGTCAGTTGCCCTGTCAAAGCAAACCCAATCACAGTTTCACAACTTTTCCTTTCACAGTGAACCCCCTGCACACCCTTCAATCAATTATCAAGAAAATTGACACCAAACACATCTAAAAATAGTGGTCAAACGTTGAAGGAACCGTGTCAAGAGTCAACGGGCGAAATGCTCTCTGATCGGGTCCTCTGGAGAAGATCCAACACCGCAGCCAAACTGTAGTAAGACCTGATGGCCTTGCCTGCTTCTCCAACAGATGATGGAACTTCAGTCATCAACCAGGCCCTGATACACGGGTATAGCGACAACCCTTCAGAGGCTGAGCAACTCAAAGGTCCATCTTTCAGCTTCTCAACAGCCCTGATGCCACTCAAGCTTCTGGACGAGATCTTCTTGGGCCATGACAACTTCTTCAAAAAAGCAACCAACGACGACACACCGATTCCATGCCCTTCTTTCACCTTGCTCAAAAGGAGGGACACCTCGCTATTCCACAAACCTGAGACAAGGTATACATGCATCCAGTCGTAAGATGTCATCGATACAGGTCCAGGAATTGTTGCCATGAAGTTCTCATCGAAAAGTGCGCCTTCCTCGCAATATGTAAACCCCAAAGTCTTTTCAAGCTCATCGAAAGCCCCCTTCCTCAAGGTGGCCTTATCGGCTTTGAGTTTCCTGATCACCGCCATGACTGATTCATCCGTGTGCAAGACACATTGGTCCAGGCTGCAAACAAAACTTGGCACCAGCCAGTCAGATGTGTCGTGAGCTGCCACCTCCAGCAAATGGTTGGTGACGTTCTGGCAGAACACACAAATGAACAGTCCTGAGGAGCCCTTATTCGACCAGCACTGCTTAAGCGCGGCCTCGTCCGCCAAGAGGAGCCCGACCTTGAAGAAGCCAAACTTACAAGGCCCATTCAGGGGCAGGCTCAGTCCAAGCCTTCCGTCAAACGGCGGTTTTGTGAACAACTCACAGATTTTTTTGAACAGTTGACTGTACTGTCCAGCAACCTTCTTGATGTGAGAGGTCCGACAAATCGAAATTTGAAACCACAACATGTCGCGGCCGAGCTGATTGCCGAAATTCATCAAAGACCAGTAGAAGGCAACCATCTTTCTGGAGTTGGTTGCCTTCAACTGGTCTCCAGGAAGGATCTCGTCACAGTAGAGTGCCACCTTGAATGGATTCCCTGCAGAGTTGTTGGAGGACGCAAGCACGCCCTCAAAGAACTCCCTAAAGGACTCATTCCTTTCCAATGTAGCGAAAAGCAAAGGCCAAGGCAAGATGCAAGGCAGCTCCAACGTTCCACCCTGTTCCTCAATGAGGCTCAGTGTGGATTGGAGAGGGCCTAAGGGTGTATCTCCTGGTAAAGCTTGCACTCTCGTCCTCTTCAGTGTCTGTCGACTGATGTGCTCGGGCAATCCGTGTTCACGTACTGACTTCAGAAGTGCGACCGTTCCACTTTGGCTGACAAATGCATGAGAAGCAGAAGCCACATAAACATGGCGTGGCCCGCGAGAACTTGAGCTCATGGCTCTCGCAGTGCGAGTCAAAGGACCCTGCACTTGCACTCACGATTCACGAGCCGTGTTTCTGGTCTGGCCCTGTCACTGGGATGTATGATGATATATGATATATGGTTGTTCCACAAACCTACGTGCTGGATTAGAGTTGCACGTGCTATGTATGCATTGCTTTGGCGCTGTGCGTGCGATTCATGCATGCGCACTGCTGCAGAAACATCAACCACTTAAGCAAAAATACTCAGTACA